TTCTGGAGGAGCAAGTCATTTATGCCTTTAAATAAAAAGCTATAGTTGGCCTCACAGCCTTTTAAATGCAATATGTTTTTTTGTGTGTGTGAGGAAAATCAGCCCTGAGCTAACATCTATGCCAATCCTCCTCTTTTTGCTGAGGAAGACTGGCCCTGAGCTAACATCCGTGCCCATCTCCCTCCACTTTATGTGGGATGCCCCCACAGTATGGCCTGACAAGCGGTGCGTCGGTGCACGCCCGGGATCTGAACCTGGGCCGCCAGCAGCGGAGCGCGTGCACTTAACCGCTACACCACGGGGCCAGCCCCTAAATGCAATATTTTAAGGGGCTATGAATTAAAGATAATAGTCAATGAAAGTAGAACTATGGGTTTTTTTTGAGGAAGATTAGCCCTGAGCTAACATCTGTTGCCAATCCTCCTCTTTTTTGTTGAGGCCCTGGGCTAACATCCGTGCCCATCTTCCTCCACTTTGTATGTGGGATGCTTGCCACAGCGTGGCTTGATAAGTGGTGCGTAGGTCCACGCCCAGGATCCGAACCCACGAGCCCCAGGCCACCTCAGTGGAGTGCACAAACTTAACCACTCCGCCACCGGGCCAGCCCTTAAATGTTCCACATTGGAAAGTTTGAGCATAATCCACTGGAAGTGAAAAATTAAGCATGTCAAAAATACAGTGTTTCTAAATTTTAGGAAGGATTGTTAATATCTCTAATTTCAAGAAAGATAGTCACTGTGTCTTACTCTCTTCTCTTCCTTGTGTGTCTTTGTGTATATTTGTGACTGTGTGTGCAATTTCTCCCAATAATCTTTTCTATTTCACTCTATTCTTCTAGTTATGTTGTTCTTAGACTGTTTACTCATGCCAGGCTCTTCCTAAAAGATGACTATATTATAAAACTGGCTTATACATATTTATTATATCTAGTTAAGTAGAATATCAGATTCCATATTTATTTTTCAGCACGTGAGTTCTTTTTTATGTGGCTTTGTTTTTAACTTTTGTTGATTGATTTCTTTTGATTTTTTTTTAACTTCTTTTTTTGTTTTTACCTTCTTTGATGCAGTAACTTTTGATCGAATAAAATTTTAGTCTGTAGTGGCTGGGCCCTGGAGGACTCCAGCTTTACAGTTCGCCATCCACATGATCTAGGAAAATTGGCTAACTTCTCCAATGTTTTCTTCATCTATTTATAACGTTAATTTCTATCACTGACGATTATTGTGAGAATTAAATAACAAAGGGAAGCAAAAAGTAAGCATTTAATTTTGAAGCTAAATCCCTGTTAGATTGTGCCTGTTGAAATTTGGAATTCCTTTCACCTTCCTGAGTGTTTGTAAGTGTTTCTTTTCCTCTGAACTCTTCTTTGGCATCCTTCCTTACCTTTCATTCTTTTTTTTTTTTTTGGCATAAGTCTTGCAGAAGATAAACAGGGTAAATGTTTTATGCCACAGCTCTTCTTTCTCAGCCAATCAATGCTTTAACTCTCTCTCTCCCTTCCTTTATGAGTCAATGAGTATTTAGCAAGGGCTCACAGGGTGCACAGTACTATAAGAGGGAGCTGAGTACTTAATTCCACTGTGCAGTTATCCAAGCCTGTCGTTCCAGTTCACAAATGGAAACCAAATCCTGCCTGGAACGAGAAGAACTTCTTCAGTGTTAATCCTGTGTTAATGAATTTGTTAAATTAGTCTCTGCTGACACAGAGAAGAGAGTATTTGTATGTATTTATATGTAAGAGATTTTATTGTTTAATCTATACATAACTTCAAGGGTATTGATGGGGAAAGATGCTCTTTCAGTGCAGCCAGGGAGTATCAGGTTAGGCCAGTATCTGCACTCAGCGTGTCTGTTTAAGAAAGGAGATCTGGGGGCCAGGCCTGTGGCCTGATGGTTAAGTTCAGCACACTTCGGTGGCCCAGGCTCAGTTCCTGGGCATGGACCCTGCACCACTTGTCAGTGGCCATGCTGTGGCAGCAGGCCACATACAAAATAGAGGAATATTGGCACAGATGTTTGCTCAGGGCAGATCTTCCTCAGTCAAAAAAAAATGAAAAGAGATCTGGCAGAAGCAAGGGTCATTTTCAACTCCCTTTTTAAAGGTGCAGAGGGAGTTTCTTCACTGTTCTTAAGACCTTTCACTATTAAAATTTGGTAAAGAAATTAAGGAAATAAAGTTGTCCTTTCTGTGGATGATAGTTTTTATTTTTAGTGGACTCTATTCTAGAAAGCTGTTAAAAACATTGAAGAATACATGAAATATAAGAAAATCTAAATTACAAAAGGGAGCAAAAGAAGAATGAAAATCATGGATGGGACCATTAAAATGAAGACTGGACAAAAATTTGTCACTGAGAGTGGACAAAACCTGCAATAATGACCTACGTACTTGCCTTTGGTTAGACTAAATTTGGCTTTAAGCCTTCTAGAAATCAACAAAAAAAGAAAGTTAATTTTGCGATTTACTATATGAGATAAAAATAAACCTGTTGCTCAAAAGAAGCAAAACTATTCTTGTTACAAAAACCTGAAAGAAATTTCCCTGAGGAGTCCGTGTGAAACTGACCCTGAGTGACCACACAACACTCTCAGCAGTGCCCTGCAGGCAGGGCAAGGGTGACTGTCGTAGAGCTATTCCTGTGACAAGTGTCGCTGCAGACTGATGGTGTCACGCAGAGCGTTGGTCATTAAAGGAATGATTCTGTGGCCTGGGTCAGGCCCAATATGCTGTGATCGCAGAACCTGGTTCTCTGCTGGTCTGACTTGAGTTCAACACATGTTTTAGGAAATCTAGAAAATGTTCCTTAATCAGTTGTTCTTAAATGTCTTCTTTTCTCAGATGAACTTTGTTAAATATTTGGTAGCACTGATAGACATGTTCCAGGAGTAAAGCTCTTTACTCCAGCTGCATACCAACACCTAATGCTTTAACTGGAGTTTGAGGTTGGATTGACTTATTCTGCAAACTGACAAGCTAAATAAGGACACGGGCCTTGAGGGGCCATCTAACCTTATGGATGAGCTGAAGATGTGCCCTGTTAAAAAATTCACCCAGCAAATTGTTTTGAATCTGCTCTAATGTCCAGACAAATGGTAGCATAAAACCCCAGAGTTCTCCCACACTCTATGTTATGGTCACGATAAATTTAGCCTGGCAGATTTTTCAAGCGTGTATAACCAGATACCCACCTGGTGGAAAAGCTCAGAGCACTCATAAAGCTTTTTCTGGCTTTGAGCATTGTGATTCCTTGGTTTATCTCTGAAGGTAAACTACTTGCCAAATATTCACTGAGAAAATGAAATGAAGACACTTTTTAAGTAGGACTGTTATTTATAAACCACTTAAAAATTGAGAGACAACCTGCCAAAAGGAACATATTTGGTTACAGAATAGGTGATCGGTAGCCCTTTTTTTTCTGGCAGGAATTAGTTAACAAAGGCATTCCTTGTTAGAGATAATAAAACTATAGTACCCTGACACTTAGAAAATAATAATAAACTACTTGTCTTAAATGCTAAGAGAGCCACATGCACTAGCTTATACAAAGTGACATCATGTTATTAAGAAGAAACAAGTTAGCAAAGAGTGAGGCTAGCAAATATCCTCTTAGACCTCACAGAACACGTTTTCATCATTCGTCAAGAGCCTTTTTCCTTTCTTGACTCTTGCAGAATTAGGTGCTGGTTCTGAGTAAATATCAATGTATTTTCAAAGAATTTCCCTATGGGAAATGGTTACTAAATACCAAAGTTTATGTTATTGTCAAAGACTAAAAAATGCTTCGACTTTGTGATGCTCATTACAGTGACTTTTCCTATTAATAATCTGCCTAGAAGTCAGGTATCTGATGCTTGCTAACAATTACCCTGTGGTCCTCAGTGATGATAATTGATGGTAATGAGATCAGAGGCAGAGTATCGGTTGACTAGAGCAGTATACTAGAAATCAGGAAAGCCAGCTTCTGGCCTTCACTCACTCAGTGATTTTATGACACATGTCATATCTTTTGAACATTCTGTATCTCAGCTTCTCCATCTGTTAAACTGAGTTCGTAATAACTGCCCTGGTCTATCTCACAGGAATGTTGCATGGACAAATTAGATAAGTGTAAAAGTGCCTTGGAGGTAAAGCCACTCTATGAATAAAAATTAGTGTGATGTAGCTACTGAAAAGTATGTTGCAGAGGCTGGAATGGTTCGTCTCTGCAGGCTTCATGACTAGATAAGGCTTCATAATGGATTCCAGTCAAGCAAACCAAACCCATCTTATCAGTCCCTGACTGTATAGTATTTAATGGAAAAAAATCTCATAATAAACACATGTTACCTTGATACAAATGTGCATTAAAAGTCAGTCATGTTTGAATTAAATAAAACCTTTCTAAGTAGCTTGAAACAATCCCTAACATCCAGTTTACAGTTTCCGTAGTCATTTTGGAGGGTGAATATTTGATGTATGTAATAAAGTTGAGAAATAAGTATATGAAACAATGTGTGGGGAAGAGAAATTGACTAGAATGTTTTCTCAGGTAATAATTATTACTGTTTTTAAAACTCTGACATTACCAAATTGAAATTTTTCTTTTGTTTATTTTATAGAAATGTCAAATTCTCCTGTCTGCCTAAACTATATATTTTTTTCTGGTTACTTCATTTTCTGTCAGAGTTAACATCCTCATTCTCAATCGTAATCATGACACAATGAGACAGGCTCGCTCCTTGCAGCTCAAGAATCATAACCACCAAATCTCTTGAAGACAGAAAAAAGTGGAGGCAATGGCCTTTCTTGAAGGAATCCCTTCAGCGCTCTAACTCTTATCCCCTTTCTCTTCACACGAGTGCACAGAGAGTTCCTGTGTAAATTTACAGTGTTCAGTCATTGAGAAGGAGAATTGAGCAAGTATGTAATTGTTTGGACATTGCATTAAAGAAGTCCTCTCCAGGCTAACTTTAGAAACTTTTATTCCTGAACCAACTTGATCTCTTTTCTTCTGCAGGGGACCATACCTGGTGGCACTGGGGAAATCTTGGCACCCAGAAGAATTTAACTGTGCGCACTGCAAAAATACAATGGCCTACATTGGATTTGTGGAGGAGAAGGGAGCCCTGTATTGTGAGCTGTGCTATGAGAAATTCTTTGCTCCTGAATGTAGTCGATGCCAAAGGAAGATCCTTGGAGTAAGTATTGGAAAACTTTTAATTCTGAGTGACTTTTAAAGCAGAATAATTTTTTGTTATGAAACTCTTCCATCATTTTTACTTTTTATTTTCTTCTTGCTTGATTCCCTCTTTGCTTTCATCACTGTTTATTATTGTAAAGCAAAACTAAATAGACCTCTGTAGAAGTATATCGGACTCCTGGGGTTAAGTTGTCTTTGGTTTTGTCTTACTGAGGGCTGGTTTGTCTAGTGAAAGTCTAGCCACTGTGGGGAAGAAATAATTTACTGCGGGTGTGCTACCTCAACAGGACCCTGTTTGCTCAGGAATGAAGAGGTCGCACAGGACCACACACATCAAGAGTTCTCAGAACTGACACCTTCACTGTTTTAAATTAAATGCCATAGCTTTTATAAGAGCAGCATTTCCCCGTTTGTCAGGGTTCAAGCACAGGGCACAGATCTCATGAAATACGTAAAACATGAGGCTTATAAATGATATTTTTCTTGAATGCATATAATGTTTAAAAATATAACCTCAGTTTCATGAGAGTATTTATGTGATAGAAAAATAATCAAACCACACCTTTTTTTTTTTTTGCACAAAAGGGAGTAATTTAGGAGTCAGATACATAATAAATAATGATGAATGAATGAATTTCCTGCTCTGGAATAGCCAGTTTGCAATTACAGAGTAAGGGTCAGGCATTTCCTATGAGTAATCAGGAGTTGGAATCTTATTTTAGAAGCAGCCAAAGTGCCTGGTCTCATACAAAACTCATACAGCTCATACAAAAGTTGAAATTGGCATTGCTGAATTCTGATATTCTCAATATGAAAATATAATAGTGAAACTCTATTCATATCACTTGAGAGAAAAGTTAGTATGAATTATTGAGCAGTCTTACTCAGTATCTTTAAATGGGTCCAAAACTTTGAGGACACTTAAATTATAAATACACCACATGAAATATTTATATATTATTAATTTGTACAATATGTTGGGAATAAAAGAGTAGAATGATTCAGGCTGTACCTTCCCAAATGACAAATAATTCATAAGTAGAATATATATTAATAATGCTGTTTTAGTATATAAAAGTATTCTATGGATTCTAGAATAATTAGTAAAATGAAATCAAGTAGGGATGGAAATCTTACACTTTCTGCTTTAGAGATGGGCCGGAACTTCACTGAAGGGATAGATTCTCTGCATTGTGTTTTAGTTGTTTGATGACCTATTAAATAAGAAATGGTAATCTGTCTGTAGGATAGAAAGGGAAGTCTCTGCTGGCAGCCTTGAGAAATGATTTGGCTCACTGTACATTTGTTGTACATGTTCATGGTGATCTTTTCGGATCTAAACAACTGTCATGTCTTCCTCTTGTCCTTCAGTAGTGAACTATGGCATTTTCTATGGCTAATAATTTATTCTGTATCATTTTATTTTACTTTGATATTTTTATTATAAAAGAAAATATTTCACTCTACCACAATTAGAAAATATGAAAAATGTAAAGAATAAAATTAAAATGACCTATACATTTACCAAACCCAGATAATTCCTGTTAACCTTAGGATGTATTTTCTTCCAGTTTTCTCTTTATAAGTAATTCATTTAGAAAATTGTAACCATACTTTATGTATAGCATCCTCTTTTTTGTGATAAATATTATGGAAATATTTTATTAACTGTTCTTCAAAAATGATTTTTAGTGGCTCCATCCATATCTCTAAATCCAAAGAAATGATTCCTTGCAAAACCAACTTCCCCAAACTTCTTTTACTAATTAAAATCTGGCCCAAGTCCTTGGTGCTTGGTATATTTAACCATAGGGCCATTGTTGACTAGAATCCATGCTTTATGGTTCAAATTTTAGACACTCATTTGAGTGTGTGCTTAGTACAGTCACAGCTGATTTCCCAAATCCTAAACATGTGTTAAACTGATTGGATTACGCTGATTATGTTATTGCTTCCATAATGCACCAAAGTATAGGTTTGTTTTAGTTTTTAAATGTTTTGCCTTTCCTCCGTGACATTTTCAAGATAATACTATGAAACCTTTGTAAGTTAATGTTTCCTGACACCCCTTTGAGAGAAAGCAGAATGTATTGTAGCAAGCACTTATGAAATGCTTGCTTTATTTACTGCATGTATAATGTTTAAATAACACAGTAATCATTCTTTAAATAAGTTTATTGATGTGTGTTTGTGAAGAACGCACATATTATATAGTGCATCAGTTTAGATGATTTGTGAGTCTTTCAAAGACAAAGCCTGTGTATCTACTTTGGTCAGTTTAAAAGGGCTGTGTTGGTCCAGCTAGTAGAATAAGCATTTGTATATTGTCATCTTTCTTTACATCCAATTACCTTTCTATAACAGGAAGTCATCAATGCTTTGAAACAAACTTGGCACGTTTCCTGTTTCGTGTGTGTGGCCTGTGGAAAACCCATTCGTAACAATGTTTTTCACTTGGAGGATGGCGAGCCCTACTGTGAGACTGGTAGGATCCGGAAGCTGTTCGTTTCTTACGTTTTGAATAAAGATAAAACATTAACCCTTACATTGCTATAAAGTTCAAAGGAAATATTAGGCAAAGTAGTTTTCCTACTTGTTTTAGGAGCATTTAATGTTACTCTAAATATATAGCAAAAAACTATGTAAAGTTTTTATATGACTTTGTCAAAACAGATATATTCCCAACATCATTAAGAGAAGTGACCATGTAAGCATTACTTAGTAGAAAAATATTTTGCTTGATTCCCCAATAATTTATGGATATAAATTCTACCAAATTGTGTAGGTAAAAGCCACCTCTTATGCTCCAGTAGTGAATTTTCAGTGGTTATAAACAAGAGAAATGTTCAACTTTTGAATATGATATCGATTTGCTCTTTAAAGCAACTACCTTGACAATAAATTGGAAATCCTTTGTTCCTTTTGCTGAGTAAGAGGGTAATCCTGGCTGGGATTGCTTCTTGGTAAATATTTTAATAAACTAGGCTCTAAGGACCAATGTACTGCATTTGTCTCATTACCTGAACTCTGAACGCTTCCTTTTCCTTCCCAAAGGTGCTAAGTGAACTTTCATAACCCTTATTTGTTAATATCACCCTTACTTAGCTGTTACTACCACACATACATATTTCAAAAGATAAAGTATTTTTCCTTCATCATGCCTCTACTCACTACCACTGCTTTCCCACTATGAGGTTTTGTTGTTGTTCTGCCTTGAAATTCAAAATTGAAAAACACTCAACCCCTCTTTGCCCGCTGAATATTCTCTTATTTTCACCTTTCTTGTAGCTCCTTAGTTAGGACCAGTCTAGATCTGTGCCACACCAGACACCAGGAAGCCCTATGGAAATTCCAGTAAACTACCCATGGACGTTTTAGGACAGGCTGGCTATAAGTTGTATACCCTGATTCAAACAGAATATTTTACATTTTATAATTCAATTTAACTCCTTTAAGAAAAAGCTTATTTGTTTGTTTTAGAAGCTTTGCAAGACGTTTTGACTAATTGGCAGATAGCCCCTATCTAGCCAAAACACATATAAAACTATCTAGCCTTAATATCATATTTAATGTAGTCTAAGAAGTCATATTTTTAAAACTCCAAAATTGCTTACAGAAAGGGAAAAATATTATTGAAGATTTATTTAAATGTCACTTCTAATCAACTGGGTCTATTTTCATTCTTTTTCTTTAACCTCCCAGACTTGTTCTTAACCCAGTCTTCCCCATCTCAGTAAATGGCCCTGCTATCCACTATCCCAAACCTAGTCATCTTGGATTCTGCTCTTTCCCTTGTTCTCCCTATATCCAATATAATTAGTAAATTCTAACAGTTCTACCCTCAATGTGTATTGAATTCATTCATTTCTCTGCTCTTCAACTGTTACGACTAAACCCAGCTCACTCTCACCCTTTGCCTGGACATTGTAATCACCAACGAAATGGTGTATCTGCTTTCCCCCAACCCTCAAATAGCAGCTGTGGTAATATTTGTTTACATGTGAATCAGATTGTGCTTGATACCCTTCATGGCTTCCACTAGACCAAAACTATACTCCTTACCAGGGCCGGCTTTGCCAACCTTATCTCCTGCCCCTTTCTGTCACTGGATTCTAGCCATACCCAGCCCCTTTGCTGTTTCTGAACATGCTAAGATCCTTTTGGCCTCAGGGCTTTTGTACTTGCTGTTTCTTCTAAACCTCTTCTAGTGTTATACACCTCCCCTAATTATTGTATATCACATCACTGTTTTCTTTCCTTAATGGTACTTACCACAACTGAAATTATTTATTATCATTTAAAATACAATAAGTGATGCCCTCCTGCTCCCGATGAGAGTATAAGCCCCATGAGGAGAGCAACCATGTCTGTCTGCTTCACCACTATCCCCCTAACTAGTGCCCAGACAGTGCCTGGCACACAGTAGGACTCTGTGGATATGTGTTAAGCAAATGGTGCTAAGGAAGATTGAAGATTGCTAAGAAAGGTGAATCAAGTTGCAAATGATAGCCTCCTTTCTCCTGCAGCCCAGGCTGGATTGAAAAGGTCAAAGGCCAAAGAATGAACCATGAGTAAACACAAGTAGTGAGAGTGGCCACATAAAAGAAAACAAAAATGTCGCTAAGTTCTAATTTAGTAATAATAAAGAAACATCTTTTCAAAACTGCTTTCTTCAGAAGGAAATCCTATTAGTATGTTATAAAACTGTAATCTGTGTCAAGTAAATGGTGTTCTCTGGTTAAGGATTTTCAGCATGAAGTCATAAAATTGAAAGGAAAATACAGCAAAAACAATAGTGGCTAATATTGTTGTGTTACAGTCCAGTTAGAAACTCAGTCATGGCACTTATTCATGGGAGTTTCCTGTGACCTTTTTTTTTCCTTATCAAGTCAGATACACTATGAAATTTGCTAACGTCAAATATTGCTTCTTGATTTAAGTTCATTAATCTTATTGCTGCTGGTTATTGGAAGTTCTCTTGTATTTTGTCGAAACAGTCATGTCTATTGATAACTTATCAGAGAACAGTGTTGTTGTTCTTCTTCATACGTATTTAAGTAGTTGGAGAGAAATGAGAAGTATTACATGGAAAAATATAATAAAAGATGTTAAGGGGCCAGCGTGGTGACGTAGTGGTTGAGTTCGCGCACTCCACTTCAGCAGCCCAGGGTTCGCAGGTTCATATCCCGGGCATGGACCTACACACCGCTTATCAAGCCAAGCTGTGGCAGGCGTACCACATAAAATAGAGGAAGATGGGCACAGATGTTAGCTCAAGGCCAATCTTCCTCAGCAAAAAGAAGATGATTGGCAACAGATGTTAGCTCAGAGCTAATCTTCCTCACACACACACAAATAAGATGTTAAGTTGTGTAAATAACGTTTACCAAGAGTAACCTGAAATATGCTGTACATATATCTCAAGCCAAATACTCAATGCCATCTGAAAATTTTCCAGTTACTACTAACTTTATCATCATCTCAGTTAATTCTAATTTTGTTGCTATTTTCTAGAAATTATCATTCTAAAGCTTTGCCATGTTTACATTGTGTCTCCACACCCCTACCCCCGCCTCAATACAGATTATTATGCCCTCTTTGGTACCATATGCCGTGGATGTGAATTTCCCATCGAAGCTGGCGACATGTTCCTGGAGGCTCTGGGCTATACCTGGCATGACACTTGCTTTGTATGCTCGGTAAGTAAACTCTTATTTGCAAGTTAAAGGGGCACAGTGTGGCCAGTTCTAGCCTAAGCACTAAATGCAAATAACAGTTCTTGTATCTTTCAGTCCTTCAAACCTAAAAATATTTTTACAGTGACTGTGAAAGTTGTTTATTAGAATTTTTGGCACTTTTTGAAATTACTTGGCACAGAATAAGATGCTTACCCCTTTAGAGAAAATCCTATTTTTAATACATTTTTGTTTATAAGGAGAGGCTATATATTTCTTAAAAGGGTAAAAGTCCTTTACTTTTTTTTAAACTGTTTTATTGGAGTGTTTTTAGTGATTTTTGGAAACATATGTAATTCTTAAAATAGAAATAAACAATTATAAAAATTTATTATTGAATAAACACTGGAAATAAACTATATATTGGTCCATTTCCTTCCTTAGCAATAGTCCATGAATATTCTTTTCTTTTTGAGACTGTAATAAATGTGTAGTAATATATTTACCTATTTCATTTCATACTTTAATATTTTTGGTTTTATTTTTAATGATGAGGCTAGATTCAGAGATTAACATTAACCTAAGATATATGTTTTTTAATTTAGAAAGTAAATATCCAGTAAAGATACTCTGTTTAGATGTTTGATTTTTTTTATTAGAATTACTGTATCTAATAGTTTTCAGTACTCATTATATGAAGGGAAAAAAGTCATGTTAACTGAAGTTGAATGATTTCCCCAAACATGACCACTGTTTACCTCATCCATCTCCTAGTCTTTATACAGTCCTTAAAAAGCAACAACTTTTAGCAGATTTGCATTTTCTGTTCTCTGCTCCAGCTGCTCTTGAGCAAATTAACAAAGGCAACAGGAAAGACAAGAAGACATAAATGTGGGTAGTTAACTGACTGTATAATCATCTGGCAGCCAGACGTTGACCAGGGCTCTCACTCTAAGAAACAGAGGAATGAGTGCAAAGAATTCTTAAGAGTCCTCTGCCCGTGCATTTGGGGGCTTGGGAATACTTGGCAAAGCAGATGTGTTGTGTGTTCTTTTGGAATGCTTTGGTCCTCTACAACAGGAGGCAGATTTAAAGCATTGATTAGAATTTGGGAAGAGAAATTATATTTAATGTGACCTCTTTATATGTTAATTTTTTCATTAGGACCAAGTGCTTCACTCCCAATAAAGAAAAATAATGATCAGTGACTTAAATAAATTAGAGTGCATTCCAGGAAAAAGTCCTTCTTCGTTGCTTTTGAAAGATTACATGAAATATCATGGTAATCGTGAATGTCCAAGTGTCTGACACAGCCAACTGGAGTGCTTTGTCATGTTGTCCATTGGGTGAAAAGTCATTTTCCCCTTCTTAGGCTTATGAGATAAAATAATGATATTCCCTTAAATAATGCTTCTTTTTCAGGTATGTTGTGAAAGTTTGGAAGGTCAGACCTTTTTCTCCAAGAAGGACAAGCCACTTTGCAAGAAACATGCTCATTCTGTGAATTTTTGAAAGTCAACAGTTCAGGAGATGAGAAGAAATTTGAAGAGAAAGAGGAGAATTAAAATTACCAATTAATTTTTAGATTTAATATTTATATGGAGTTTTGAAAAATAATAGTGGCCCTGAAGGGATAAATTCCAGCTTTAAAAGCCAGGTCTATGGGAAATATTTGGCTTCATAAAGTAAAGAGACAGTTGGGCATTTATTATTACTTTTTTCCTGTATTTTCTGCCCATAAAATAACTTTTATAAAAATCAATTTCTTGGTTGACTATTAAATTTATCTTAGAATAAATTAGTAAAGAATTAAATTTTAGAATAAAAACCTTGAACCTCTATGCTGAAATAATTATACTTTCTTTCCTTGTTAGGTGGTTATGAGTAAATCTGTAAAAGGCAATAAAAATGCCTTACACTTGATCAATATGTGAAATGTATTTTTTTAAAAAATAGTGTTTATCTTTAAAACAGTAAATAGGAGTTAAAACAGAGAATTTTATCAGTGGTGGGTGTCCGTTTTTTAAAAACTGTATGTACATTTTTTTTTTGTTTTACAGTTGATCATTCCAGTAGGAAAGGCCAATGAGATTTTTGATCAAAATGTGTCATGCTGATAAGAGATGTTATATTTTTCTCTCATTCTCCCCCAAAAAAGCCACCATATAGCTTACAACTCAATTTTTTGCCTTTTATTAAAATATAGTCGTATTCATTATGTTTCATCACCTGTATTAGTCAAACTCCATTTTTTTCCCTTCCCTCATGTTGAGATAAAGAGCTAATTGAATAACTTTGGACTCTGACCGTTTTCTCTCTCTTTAAAGAGAAATAAGTAGAGAAGAATGTGATTGGGAATTATGGTAAATCAGAGGATTGGATCCAAAATTTTAAAAAATTCCTCCTTTTTGGACAATGAATCAATTAAATCAGTTTCAGGGTGGTAGTGCTGACTGATGAAGGTTTGAGAGCTCTCTTTGCAGAATAATTTTTTTTTCTTTTATTCTACATTGGAAAAATAAAAGGCTTGGGGATGTGATCAAATCTAGATTTTTTTTTTCCTTTGGGTAGTCCTTTGGGTAGTTCTCTCTCAGTAATAAGTGAACCTCTTCCAAATGTGATCACAAAGTTTGGAAAGCTTTTCTTCACAGAGGTTTGGTAGTATAAGAGGGGAATATGATTAATACTCAGACTGGCCCATTATTTTCTTCATTTAGGGAAAAAAGTTATGTAGATACCACATGAAGACAGAGAAACAATTGTCGCAAAATTGTGGATCCTGCTTGCCCAGTGAGAAAGAGATGATGGCATTTGATAGTTTTTCTTTGTTTCCAGAATGGATGAAAGCCCAGGATCCCGCTAAGTTATAATTTAAATTTGTTTGGGGCAAGGTGTTTTTAAAGTTGAGACAGAGCCCCAAAGTCCTTCCGGCCCCATCACTCACTCACGACTTCACTTCCATTGTGTTCATGTTTGTTGTGGAGGGAGGTTTTTGCTACAATATTTGTTTAACCTCCCTAAGAACTTTCCAAGGCATCTCTCCTGAAAGCTGTTAATTTATGGTCTAGCAGATTTATGTTATATACAGATAATAATTAACTGGGGATAAAAGAATGAGAAGGGTGACACAAAGTGGCAAACTGAATGCTTCACCAGTAGCAACCCCTAACTCCCTCCGCCCTTGCATCTTGGAGGGAGGCAGGAAGGTTTTTCTGAAGTGCTGGAACTGAATTGTGCGTTATTTCTCATTGCTGCTGAAACCACCTATGGAAGACGTGCTGGCTAATGTGCATTGTCGCATATCTTAATGTCAGTCTTTTGCTTTACATAATAATAAAATAAGTTGGTGGTTTTGTTTTGGTGTGGTAGAGATTTTTTGTTATTTAGTTTTGCCTTTATAGATTATATGCTAAGATAGGCTTTGATAAGTCAATGGCATTTGGGTATTTCCTTCAAAGAATTTTATTTGACCTGGATTTCTTATAAAGTTATCTTACATTAAGGATATCATTTTTATTAGACTTTTCTTTCTACATACTATTCATGGAGCATAATGTTGCATTTCTCTAAATTTTATCCCTAAAAGGGTAACGTTGCTTCCTAATTTATCATTTTGTCTTTGCGCTTTGTCCTTCTCTTCTGTGGGAAAGCCTCATATCTGTCCCGAAAACATTTAATCCTGTGAAATAAATATTGATTATAATCCAGAAGAATCTCTGTATTTTCCAGTGGGGAATGCCATATTTAATACACCAGCATTAATCTTTTAATAACTGGCAGAGCACTTTATTCTTCTGGTGCGCTCCCCGAATATTTATTTTTCTGATTATAAATATTCCATGTCAGTAGCATTTTTTAAATTATTACCTCTCTGCTGTAGAGCATTTACTTTTAGTCTCTAGATGTATATTTTGGAATGCTGTGCTTAGTATAATACAGATTAAAATCACAGTACCTGACTCTAAAACATTCCCTACTTCGATTTCCCAGTTTCCAAATGTTAGTGATAGGTTCAGATTTATAACATTTCTCTAGACTTCCAAGGGCTGAATGTTGCCCACTGAAGTAGCAGCCTTAGAATGACCCCCTCTGCTTATGCTTGTAGTAGCATACGTATTTCCTACTGATTCAGGTTACATTTAGAGTTGAAAACTAAAACCTGATCATTTGGTCACAGTATTGTGATAAATAAAAATAAGAGTTTAAATCTTGAAAATATTAGCACAGCATTATGTTTAAAAATCGTCTACAACAAAAATGTATTCTTCGTACCATTTTCAAGGGATACTATATGAGAACCACTTTTATAGAAAATAATTCCTTCCTCTCCCCTGCTCAAGTGTAAATCTCGTGTTATAGTAATTTTTGTGATGTTTGGAGTTTAGTCATCCCTATTGAAAGGAAAGACTTTTCAGACATAAGGGAAGGGAAGATGTACTGAATCATTTTACACAAATCAAATGTGGCTTCATCTCCCAAATGTTTAAGGTTTGGATTCTCAATGTATCATTTGCCTTATCTCTTAATCTCTGTCTTCTGTTTCTTTAAGTTTTTAAGTTTGTATATGTCTGTGCTCTATTGCTTTTGGATACATTTTCTAATTAAAAACCACATGAGAAATATAATCAGTATAGTAATATCTTGATGTGCACATCCTCAATAAATAAATGGCTGCAGTGATGTTGACAAGCTCTCCTGGTTTTTCTTTTTGGGTAGCAAGTGGTTTCCATTAAGTCATCGTGGGGAAAAAACCGTGTTCACAGGATAGGATGAGATGAATAATTCTCAGAAGACTCCCTCTTTTATGACATTTTCCTATCAAAATGTCTCAGGAAAAAACATTTGAAAATAACTGCCACATTTATTCTACAGTCCATTTTTATGCTCTGCATGTAGCATGTACACAATAAATCTTTATGAATTAATAGATAAATAAGCTCTATTGTCTTTTAAAAAATATGTATTGCTGAAATTATTTATTGGAATAACTTGTAATATCAAGCATTATATTCTATTGTATATCACATCAAACAGCGTAAATCGCCATCTACATTTCTCATTGACCGGGGTACGCTACTTCATGCTTAACTCATCCTGATCTCATTAGCTAACTTTTCTATAACTAAGTAGGCCTACCTATTCCCCGTTTGTTGATTGACTTGAATAAGATTTTTTCCCAACTGTATAAAGTTGAGAGGAAATGTTTCTGTTGCAGACTATATATTGGAAATAAAACACAAATTCAAGTCTATTTGCTCACAGTATATTAAACTCCAGAAGCCAAACTTATAAGAGCATCAAGTCTGCATCTGACATTTTAATAGCTGCTGTTTGGTTTCTATCAATCACGTCATTGCACATTAAAATGCACCGACAAAATAAGAGATCTGTCATTTCTTCGTTAAGAAACAGTAATCCAGTACAAGATTTATAGGCTTAAGACTCAACAGTGTGTGTTCACAATAAATCCCCATTCAGTGCTCAGACCAGAACAAGCCTCCCTGTCGGTCAATGCTTTCTGCTCAAAATGTTCCTAATAGAAGATTATCAAAGGTTTTCTTACAGAACTACATATAAAATCCTTTTTGCCAGCAAAAGCTTAATTTAGGTTGGCGGTTTCCCATTTTGCATACTCGCAGACAAGATCTTGGTTATATCAGAAACACATAGGTACTGATGTCTTATTAGCAGGCCTGGTGTTAATTAGGGAGAATTACCAGAAATAGTTTGCTTCGTGGGAATTTATTACAGAATCACACTTGACTGATGGCGGAATAGGAGTTGCTGAGAGAGAGCAGCTCTCACTCATAACCACTAATTAATAGGGTGCCAAAATTCCGCAGAGAAGGTTCACCCCAAGTGTGGGAGCCTCGCAGGGAAAATGGTCCCTTTGCAGTATTTAAAATTTAAGAGAGGAAAGGGACCAGGACACAGGGCTGCCCAAGAGAGATCTCAGACAGACTGATACAGTTCTGTGTTGTACTCATGAATGAGAGCATTTAACTCAGGTAGCATAAAGCCCAAAAGTTTGTGAAAGAATCCCTTTCCCTCCAAAAGTCAAAAGCAGCCTGTATATTTATCATACTAAGGAGATATGCATAGTATTTTTAATGTGGCAAATGTCTGATTCACTCAACTGTTCGTTTTATGAAGAGAATTTAGAACAACTCATTTGTCTATGGTATTACATTACTGACCTTTTCCTCTTTAGTCCGTGATTTAGAAGCTGTCTGAGTAGGTGGCAAGATGACATCAGTGATTAGTAAGAAAGGTGTGGTCTCCACACCTTGAACACAGAGTTGGGGGAAAGCACGGTGTGTTTAGTGTTTGGTGATTGGCACTAATGGCAGAGCATTGAGGGAGCCCTATTAACCAAAGTTTGCCAACAAGGGAATTGTTTTCCTGTGTCTGTAACTGCGTGTAATCCCATACAATGAAACTTGGAGCCGTTGCTTAGTGTAGAAGAATAAAACATTTCCATGTCAGAAAACTGCTGATCACTGACCTCAGGGAGAAAAATAAAACAGTTTAGAGTTCACAGAGAGTATAATTTTTCAATTTCTCTTCAGGCGACTATAGTTCCCAAGGAAAAGGACCCTGTGCCAGCTCCATCGACTGCTCGACACGGTCTCTCATGCATCCGTGTTTCAAAGGACAAAGTTTCTGTTTAATAATTGGGTTCTAAATTAGTTTTTCATCTTCACATTCTAAATTGTGACATTTGCTCTCTAGTTCAAATATACTTAGGTTTGTTTTTTCTTTCCTTTTTGCTCTTTTTCTTTTGCTTGTAAAGCACACACAGCTGGTGTTATTCTAAGCACTTATTCAAAAATACCATTGTTTGTTTCAAGTATTTTAGTAGACTATAATATCTTCAGAGGTGTCTTTTGATTTTTTCTTTTCCCTAGTGTATTACTGATAGGCCAAACTGCTCCCTTGGTAAACAGGAAAGTAATTTGAACTCCAGTGACTTATACCAATATTAATTTTTTTTTTTTTTTTTTTTTTTTTTGTGAGGAGGATTGGCCTTGAGCTAACATCTGCCAATCCTCCTCTTTTTGCTGAGGAAGACTAGCCCTGGGCTAACATCCGTGCCCATCTTCCTCCACTTTATATGGGACGCCGCCACAGCACGGCATGGGAAGCCGCCACAGCACGGCTTGCCAAGCAGTGCATCGGTGCGCACCCAGGATCCGAATAGGCGAACCCCGGGCCGCCGCAGCGGAGCGCTCACACTTAACTGCTTGCACCACCGGGCCGGCCCCATACCAATATTAATTTTGCATAAATAGAAATCTTTGGTTAGGTGACCCTATATTGATGTCATCTGACCCTGGAAGCTTTCTCTGTCCCTGTTTGCTTGAGAATCTTGACAATCGAAAGCCTCCTTAGTTGAATGAAGTGGAGAGCAAAAGAACCCATGGAGCTTTTCAATTATGAACTTTGAAATATAAGTTGAATTAATTCTGGCTTCATCAACTGAAACGTACCATTCATTCTGCTCTGTTAAAT